GCAAACTGTTTTCAGGTAGCTGCCTTTTATATATGCCTGAGCCATGTTATTGGGGTAACTACAGTGGGTGATAACTCAGTTACAATCAAGTAGCCACATCTGCTTCTCAGTGCCACTGCCTTTTTACCCCTAGGCTAGAAAGGGTAGCTTGAGCAAATATAAATGGCTGGGTTTCTGGGAGTTTTTCCTCACTCTCTTCAAGTTAATGGTGTGCATAACGGGCTATTTTCTGATGTCAACTGGAATAAAGTAGTGTTTGGCAATCGGGGATAGACGACTTTATTTGCCAAACTCACCGTTTCACTGCCTTATGGTGCTACATCTGGCACAAAGCAAAAACCTTTTGCATATTAGCTCAACGAGATGGGATGGTATAGAGCAAATCAAGCAAGATCTCTTCTTGCTTCTCTCCAAGGCATTGTGAGCATCATTGCCAGCTCTGTATTTCACTGGCAGTGTAACTTTGGAGTAAATCATTTTAGCTGGTAATTGAGGAATAAATGTATTTTGCGTGTTGGGTAGGCTTTGTATGGTGAGGAAAAGGGTAAGGAGGAAACCAGGTCTATAGACATGTGTCTGTGACTGCTCTACTCCTAATAAAACCAAATATTTCTTTCTTAGCTTTTATGTATCACTGCATTCCCCAGTTGCCTGATGTGTGTCCATTTTTGGCTTGCCTGTTTGATTTATTCAGTGCCCCTGTAATTCACAGGGTCTGGGAGTTCACTTGGATTTCCCCAGCAAGCCCAGAGGGCAGGGCATGCACTAATGTGAAGGTCTACATTAGCATTGCTGGTTGTAAGATACTACAGCTGATTCCGTCCAGGTGCTTTTTCCTCTAGGAGGGTTGCCCTGCAAGCATCTCAGCCAGGTGCTCTTTCATCATTTGAAGAAATCTACTGAAAAGAAAAGGATCTTCCCGCGCAACATTTATATACACACATTTTGTTCTTTCCTTTTTGTCATCTTCCTTAAACATGGAAATTGTACCTTCTCTCTTAAGCTGAACTTACTGTTACTTAGAGGCATTTCCCTCTGTTGACCTGCCTGTGAAAATGGTGAGCCTTAAGTCAGAATTCTCTTAATAGTTCTTAGTCTGATTTAAAACTCTTTACGAAGAGTTTTTCGTTGCAACTGACTTAACTAGTCATGCTTCCCTTCAAAGGACCCATTTTCTATCCCTTTATCATGTGTGTGTGTCTGTTTTCTACATTCACCCAGTCCTCCACATCCTTTTAAAATGTGAGCTCCGCTCTAAACAATGTAGCAAGAAGCCTATGATGGGGCTTCCCTGGTGGCGCAGTGGTTGAGAGTCCGCCTGCCGATGCAGGGGACACGGGTTCGTGCCCCGGTCCGGGAAGATCCCACATGCCGCAGAGCGGCTGGGCCCGTGAGCCATGGCCACTGGGCCTGCGCGTCTGGAGCCTGTGCTCCGCAACGGGAGGGGCCACAACAGTGAGAGGCCCCGCGTACCGCAAAAGAAAAAAGCCTATGATGATTGAGCTTGAAAGATGGAAAACTTTGGTCTAACTTAGTAACTGATTAAAATAAGCAGATACTTATTATGAGGTTATCACTATGACTTTAATAAATCTGCGTAATCTTGCCTAGAACACATGGTCTAGATTTATGTTGTTTTCAAGATATTTCTTTTAAAAAAATACATTGTATTTTCTTTCTCGGTTCCTTTTCACCATCCCAGGATTCTCATCAACCTGCACCTCACTATATTTAATTTCTATGACAGAAGTATAGGGTCAAGAAGGATATAGTTGGAAGGGACCTCAGAGACAGGCAGGTGTACTTTTTATTCTAAGACAAGTTTGCTCTGAGAATTTGGGCAGTTCCTGTGTCTTTTGTGGGCCTCTGTTTCTACCTTCATAATCTGATTTCCAAGATTTTGGTCAGTTCTGATACTGTTTAATGCTCTGACAATTCCTATGACATAAAGCATCTGGTAAAGTATAAGAAGGTGCTGAGAAATCCTCTTTTAAATTGAATATGAAGAAGACATAGGTCCAGATAGAACACTTGAACCTGAAAATTAAGCTGTGAAGTAGAATTTGATCATCAGGTCTCCATCAACCTAGACTTCTTTGCAGATCACCTAAAACTTCATTGTGGGCTTTTGTCTCATACATTATGACTTTAAAGGTAGAAAAGATCTCGGTGACGATCCTTTTTAGTTGATAGGTATTTCATTTTTTTATTTGAAGGCCAGTGAATTTCTCAGTCCCGGCTGCACGTTAGCATTATCTGGGTTTTACAGGAATACGGGCATCTCATCCCTTCTCCCCATCCCTGAGAATTCTGAATGCATTGGTATGAGATAGAGTTTGGGCATCGGCATTTTTAGATAAGATTCCTTGGTGATTCTAGTATCTAGCCAATGTTTAGAACTCTGAGGTGGAGTTCATAAAGATTTATGAGACTTATAATTTTAATAAGGATATAGACAACATATATCTTCAGATGTGCACACCCAGAAGGATGAGAGAAGTAGAGATATTTCTATATGACATGCCATTGAACCTTTCCAATTCTACGGGGTCCAAAGTAGGAATACTATGACACTTTGCTTAATGCAATGGTTCTCAAAGTGTGGTCCCAGGCTCAGTAGCACCAGCATCACCTGGGGATTTATTAGGAATGCAAATTATCAGACCCTGACCCAGACCTACTGCATCAGAGCTTCTGGGGGTGGGACCCAGCAATCTGTGTTTTAACCAGACCGTCCAACGATCCTAGTGAGCTCTAAAGTTTCAGAACCATCAGCATAGAGAGTTGTTGTGGGCGTAAGAGGTAGCCTAGGAAAATCTTAGCGCAGTGCCCGGTGCATGGTGAGAGTCCAAAAAACAGAGTACTCTAAAGATAACTGTGTTTGACTTCTTGGTAGCCTGAATATGGCTGGGAGCTAGACTTGACAGCTGTGAGCTACTCTTCCAACTCTAAGACTGTTACTTTTTAAAAATTTATTTTATTGAAGTATAGTTGATTTACAATGTGTTAATTTTTGCTGTATAGCACAGTAATTCAGTTATACATGTATGTGCATTCTTTTTCATATTCTTTTCCACTATGGTTTATCATAGGATATTTGAATATAGTTCCCTGTGCTATATACAGTAGGACCTTGCTGTTTATCCATTCTATATATAATAGTTTGCAGCTGCTAATCCTCAACTCCCAATCCATCCCTACCCCACCTCCCCCTCCCTCTTGGCAACCACAAACCTGTTCTCTGTGTAAGACTGTTATTTATAAGGCAAATGGAGCTCAATTGAACGATCTCAAAGGTGTATCAGAACAATCCGTCCAAGTCACCATCCTTCCACTGTGAGATTTAGACTCTTTCTTTTCTGAAGACCTAAGTGGTGATGTTTTGGTGCTATCCAACAGTGACTCATGGAGTGGTAGAGACTATACCACTAAGTGTTGAACAGCTGAAATGCAAGGAAAAACTATTTATCCATAGAGGAGGACAGTTCCCCAACACGTCTAAAACATTATTGCTAAAAGGAAAAGGGCACATAGAGAAATTTTTTTCAGAAAATGAAGGTTTCCTTTTCTTAATAGAATTTCTTACAAAGAATATTTTAAAAGATTCCATACCAAGAACCCATAGCGATGTTAGGTTTCCTAGTATCCTAAAGCCTGGATAGTGTATAGATTTCCAAATTGGATGTTTCCTATTCCAGTTTCTCCTAATCTTGTCCTGCACACACTTTTAGATTAGTCTTTAGTAAATCATATTCTTAGAAGTGTTTCCTTCTCAGAAATCCTTAATGGATCCTCACTGCATGCACAATAAAATTCAAACTCTATGCTAGATGTGGAACACACTTAAAAGCTTATTTTTATACTGCTTTAATTTTTATAACCTTCTAGTGTTATTTTACATTCTTGTGTTTATGCTATATTGTAACTTGCTTTTTATTCTCTAGACCCTGATTTTTTTTTTTTTTTTTTTTTTTTTTTTTACCATTATGCCTCTGTTTTCCTTTATTTCTGTCTAGCATGAACTTACTATCTACATCATAATGTTCAGGGGCAATTTAAATTCTCCAGTAAAGCTTCCTTGTTACTCCAAATGAATGTAAGCTTTCCTTTATCTTAACTTCCAAAAGAGTTTGTAGAGCTTAATAAATTGCACCTTGTGTTACCTTACCTGTTTATACATTTTTTTCCATCTCTACTTGACTGAAAATTCATTGAGGACAAGCAACAAGTCTAATACACCTCAGTAATCCACCGCTCCAAGCACCTTCCCTGTTCTGGCTAAATGTACTTGACACGCTTCTACACCGCCTTTATGTCACTTCTGAGTATCCTGTCTGGTCCTCATTCTCCTGAAAGTTAAGGATGCTAATTAACTGAGGAGAACTTAGGGAATAATTGCTGTGCAGGACAAAAAATTATGTGTCAAAGCCAATTACAACGCAGTGAAATGCCAGCTAATGCAAATCTCCTTGACTTATGATGGGGTTACATCGTGAAAAGCCCACTGTAACTTGAAAATATTAAGTGGAAAATGCATTTAATACACCTAATCTACCAAACATCATAGCTTAGCCTTGCCTACCTTAAACATGCCCAGAACACTTACATTTAGCCTACAGTTGGGCAAAATCATGTAACACAAAGCCTATTTTATAATAAAAACTTGAGTATATTATGTCATTTATTGGACACTGTACTGAAAGTGAAAAACAGAATGGTTGTGAGGGCACAGAATGGTTGTAAGCGTATGGGTTGTTCACCCTGGCGATCTCCTGGCTGACTGGGAGCTGAGACTGCCTGCCGAAGCCCAGCATCACAACAGCATTGCACCCCATATGGTTACCCCAGGAATAGATCAAAATTCAAAGTACGTTTTTTGTTGAATGCCTGTTGCTTTTGCACATAGGTGGAACCATCATAAGTTGGGGACTGTCTGTGTTTGTAAGAGTGCTATAGTATTGCATCCGTGTTAACTTCATGTGTGTGTTTCCTTTCCGCAGGTGATTTTCTTCCACCCCCGCCTCCACCTCTAGATGATTCCAGTGCGTCTCCATCGGGCTCTGGGAACTTCCCTCCTCCACCTCCCCTTGATGACAGTGCTTTCAGGGCACAGGTAAGATCTGGGGTTGAAGTCATGTTTATAAGCCATGCTAGGAATCCTGAATTCTGAGATTGTTTCTGTGGTGGATAAACATTTATCCAGAGCCTACAGAGAGAGCTTTACACCTCACAAAGCACTAAGGCATTTTAATGCCAGCTGCCCAGCTCAAGCTTCCCAGAGTTCTGCTGGCTTGCCCTCTGAAGCCCTGGAAATCCTTTTACCTACTAATTTTATTTTGAAACTGAAAGTCATTCTTTAGGAATGCCATTTGAGAAGTCCACATTTTCTTGTTATCCTGGAGACACACAAGCAGGCTTTTTTATTGCCTTTTTTCTCTTTCCACAGACGTTGCATTCTAAATGAGTAAGGATGATATTTTAAGGTTCTGGTTGGTCACTGTGGGTACTAATTGGTCAGCAACATCTTTCTAGCAAAAGCAACAGCAAAATTTCTTAGGTTTTCTCTTCTGAGTGAGGTCAGGCGTGCACAGTACGGTATGTGTTGACTATTTAGAAGTATCTGTGCTCCAGGGAGTGTTGCGAGCAAAGTGACTCAGGGCTAGATTCAGTAAAAGTTCTCAGCCTGTGTTCACGTAGAGCCACTGGTGACCAGCTGCCACTGTTTAGGCAGGTAAATGCCAGTTATGTCCGGAAGGAAAACTAAATAATATTGTCATACAATTATTGTCATATTTTTAGGGGTGATGATGTTACTATAGATACGTCAAAGAAAAAAATCCTTATTTTTTAGAGAAATGTCGGCAAGATTGGTGAATGAAGTGAATAGTGCCTGGTATTTGCTTTAAAGTCAAAAGAATCTAAAAAAGAGTGGGTGGGCTTCCCTGGTGGCGCAGTGGTTGAGAGTCTGCCTGCCGCTGCAGGGGACAAGGGTTTGTGCCCCGGTCCGGGAGTATCCCACATGCCGTGGAGCGGCTGGGCCCGTGGGCCATGGCTGCTGAGCCTGCGCGTCCGGAGCCTGTGCTCCGCAACGGGAGAGGCCACAGCAGTGAGAGGCCCG